TCCGGTACCGGGAACCGAACTCACGACCTTGCGCTTGCCAGGCAGGCGCTTTGCCGCTGAGCTAAATCCCCAGCCCCACACCCTCAAATTCAGAACACAGGATCTGGTTAGTAATAACAATGAATTGACATTGTAATTGAGCATACTCTCTTTTAACTCATCCTTTATGGATAAGAATAATTTTAAATTATAAAAGTCACTTTACAGATAGCAAAGGACCCCTTAAAAATATTTGTAAGTTACATACCTTCCTCTGCTTTCTTCATCAGGTCATCCAGTAAGATTCTTTGATGTTCTTCGCCATCGTTAAAACTATATAAGGCCCATTTCTTCAACAGAGTTTCTCCTTCCCCACAAATATCAATCTCCAGTAAACCAGGAAACCATTCTTCCATGAGAGAATCAATGTGGTCCACAACTTGGCCCAAAAGAATACAGCCTACACAATTCCAAATAGAGCTCATCAACCTTACGGGGCCACAAAGGCCAAAAAGAGAAACTGCAAAGTTGTGTTTTCTGATGTTTTGTTTTGTTGAGAAGGGGCTTCTCACTACGTTGCCCAGGCTGATCTTAAACTCCTGGTTCAAGTGATCTTCCTGTTTCAGCTGGGACTACAGCCACAGGCCACCACCCCCAGCTCTGGAAAGGTTTTTGTTTTTTTCTTTAATTTAGATTTCTTTAGTGATACAATTTAAAGTTTTGAATTAATTTTCTTACCTTTTCTACAAGAAGGAACTGTAATTTTTAAGAAACTCTCTTGTTGATTGTCTAAGACTTCAGATCCTACCAGACAATAAGCTTCAGGAGACCAATTCAAGTAGATGCCCTGTCGCCAGTACATCCTGTTTGGGCGAAGTGCTCGTTCTGAAAGAAGTATAAATGGATCCAAACAGATCTGTTAGTTTTAACTTCTGCATAAAGAAAGCACTCACTGCCCGCTCCAAAGTAACTGGAATACAAACAGACTTGTTTTGCATGAGAGTATTAGGTCATTTATGATATAGATCATCATTCATATCTATATAAATATTATGTGAAATATCTGTTCCTTGATTTTGCAATAAAATAAATGCCCATAGACTACCTAAGATACAATTCAGGTGCATGCTGATAAGTAGTGTAACATGATTATTATGTGAATAAAGAGAATCAAAACTTCAAGCAACGTAAGGTTTATTTCAGAAACCAGTAGCACCTGTATGAAGCTTTCTTAAAAACAAAAAAATGGTATTGTTTTGGAATATTAAGACATTTCTTTATTCTAGAACAAAGAGCCAGCATTCATTATACACACTAATTTTTTATTCTGTCCTGTAAATCTCTCAGATATTCAGCAACATAACAGAGATATTATAGTCCATACCCTGAATGGGCTAGGTCCTATTATATTTGTTGAATAAAAGTTCCCTCATCATGCAGTGGTCATTTCTTTTTCCCTTGGTATGTGTGGAGTGTGTGTGTGTGTGTGTGTGTGTGTGTGTGTGTGTGTATGTTAAATCAATGACTTCTAGCAATCACACCTTTTAAAATTATTGCTCCTTTTTTATTGTGGCTCAGAAAGAAAGCTATTCTTAGCTGTTGGAAATGTATCTAAAATAGGAACAAATGGGCTTGTGTAAGGAGCTGAGGGATTCTCTTTCAGATAAAATGCATAACTTCAATTATGCCTATGTATCTTCATGTAGACTACTTTGAGGTTTTATAGGTTTATTTTTTAATTCAGTAGCCTCTCAAACAAGTAAATACATAAATTTTTATCTCCTTAACTTTTCTAAATAGTGCCTTCATTAAATGCATACCTCTTCCTGAAAGCATGTAAGGTGAAATTTCAAGTAACCGATTGATTAATCTTGACCAAAATCCCATTGGAAAATAAGGCATCTCATATAGTCGAATGATAATTTCAGAGTTCTCACAATGGGGAAGTTCTATCACAGGTCTGTGGTCAGACAAACTAAAAAAGGAAAGAAACACCCAACTATGTTGATCGAAGTGCTTTACTTTTTGAAATCAATGAAATTAACTATTCTAAGAAAACTACTTTTTTAGGAATATTTTTTGGTATACACACTTCATACATGAAAAATTCAGTGGTCACTGAATCAATTCTAATGTGTGCTCCAATGTAGTAGATGCATTAAGTTTTTTAGTAATCCTATATATGCTAATAAATTATTGCAACTAGTTATACACAAATATTAAGATTGTGTAAAAATGAAAAATTAGATATCTCAGAAAATGTTATATCTGCTTTTATAACTAGCTGTCATCTATCAATCAATATAATTTGCATTTTGAGCACCAGGTTACTTTATAACATATCCTAGTTGCTTATAAAGCAATAAAAATGTCCACAATACAAGGGTAAAACTTAGGCCTGCATTGTGATGTCACAAGTTCTTTCAAAACTGTTGAAAATCCACTGCTGTATTTTCCAAGACCTTCCCTAATATTGCTTTCTCATTGTCATGTAAGGATATAGATATACACACACACACACACACACACAAACTATTGTTTATGGTTTATCTTTCTTAAATAATTTAAGTAGTGGTAAGCCAAACAAAAATCACATAGATTTAGTAAGCCCTTTACTATCTCTTTTAAGTGTCAAATTCAATGCTTTCATTAAAAATACATGCTGTACTTTAGTAAAACATTTAAAAAACCAGGCAAAAAATATTTACTACAACTATTATACATCAATGTTACTTTAACAATTGAAATAATATATAATGAATCGACATGGAAAAATTACATTTTTAAAGTTTATTTTACCTGCTTGGAACCAGCAAATAATCTTCCCCTATTGGCAAGGCAATCTGAAATTTTTCTAAGAGTTTAAAGTATTGTGTCATGTAGTTCTTTGGAAATCTCCTCTTCTTTGAAAGAAATTTTTCCACATCTCTACGTGAAATGATTCCCTTAGGATATTTTGGACAGCCTTCCACTTTTACTGTCAGAATCTGAAAGATATAAACTCATAAATAATCACTAGGATTCATCTTCTGAAATGTTTCAAATGTATATCTCAGCGAAAGCAATCGGAACAGCTTGTCCAGTACAACATAGTATCTAATTTCCATTGCAGCCGAGTTGCCTAGAGGCTCAGCAGGACATCCGTCCTCTGAAAACATTTGTTAAATTAAGGAAGTGCATTCAGATCAGACTTTATCAGGAGCCTCAGAAAACAGTGAATCTCAAGATTTCCCTAGCTCCAATTAACAGATCAAGCCAATCCACCACATTCATACTGCCGTCTCCTCACTAAAATATTCTCAGGGAAATTATATCCCAGACTGTTATTACTACAGGTTTGCTGTGGAAATATTACTTGACATTTATACAATAGGAGAGGTTTTCATCGCTGGGAGGAGAGGCCAGACAGTACAGGCTAGTGATTCTCAGGGCAACTACTGCATTTCGCTGGATGACATTTGCAGTTTGGCCAGAAAGTCTGGGGTGAAGCTTAAGAACGTGCTCCTTTCAAACCAACCTGGATGATTCTAGCACACAGCCCCTACTTTGAGCTCTGATGGTCATAACAGTTGAAAATCTGACTCTGGATCAGAAGAAACTAAGTTCAAATCCAGGCTCTGCTACGAGCTATGTGACTTTGGAAAAAACATTTAATTTCTGGAAGACACAGTTTCCCTCTCTGGAAAATGAGATAACAAAGGTGTCTGCCTCTTTGATTGCCATACAAGTGAAAAAAGAAAGTATAAATCATACAAAGAGCATATGGTACAAACGTAACTTTATTCATTAGGTATGTATATTTTATAATTTATATTATCCAGCAAAATAACTCCAGCACAAGAACCCTATCTGGAACATAGTAAATACAGAATACATATTCTGTCAGTTCTGGTATTAGCCTTTAAGAGGACCGGCAAATTCTCATTTCTTTCTCTTGGTAGTCCACCACCATGAAAGATGTCCAATTACCGGAGTCATAGTGCCGTAAGGAAGTCCCAACCTAATTACATGGAGGGCCACATGGAGAAGCCCCAGTTCTACCAAAAGTGGGAGTGTAGCCTCCTTTGACTTGCCAGGCTGGCTCCACGCATAAAGCCAAGGGCCTGAACCATGTCAAAACTATTGAGCCAAACTCAGTCCACCCACCGAAGAGACAGAAACAGTAAATTCTTCGTGTTTTCGGCCTCCAAGTTCCCATATGGCAATAAAATCTGAAATATTATCTTAATTTTATCACCTTTAAAAGGTTTCTTCAAACAAACTATATGGCTAACTTACGCCTTTATTTTAGGAAAAAGGAGTTTCCAAACTCCTTATATTTCTCCCATGTATTTTTTTGAATTTTAAAAATTAAAAAACAGACAAAACAACAATGAAGACAAAAATCAAAACAGCACAAAAGATACATGACACCAAAACAAAATGATAGAAATTTACAGCGGTTGCTATATTACACACTGTTATCTTCAACGACGTTGCTCAGTCCACCAGACATAAGAATGTAAGATGGAGCCAACAATCAAAGACAGTAACAAGTAAAAAACAATAAATAAATAAGAATAAATAACAAATAAAATAATAAATAACAAATAAAAAACAGTAAATAAATAAAGAAAGAAAATGAAACACTGGAAATGATGCAGAGCGTCACCATACAAGATGGTAGGAGTTCAACAGTGGTTCTTATACTACATATTGTTTTCAGATCAGTCATTCTGATTACCAAATCCAAGCGTGCAAAACTGGTCAAGAAAAAATTTTAAGCATGTCTCGCATGTATTTTTATCAAGATTAAATTGCCACAGAAGCTTGTTAATGCTCCACCTAATTCAATAGGTCTCTTTGATATTTCTTCCATCACACAGCTAGATGAGTTATGCAAACTTCCCCTTCCTCGACTCAATCTTCTTTAATAAGTTCAGTGACCTAACAGCTCAAGGCACAGAGAAAGTAGGTGGGCTCATTAGAGTTCTGCACATTGATTGAAACATTGAACGTATTCCTGCCCTTGTCTTAGTGATGCATGGAGGGAGAATATCCCTATTTATTTTGGCTGATGGCTGTCAGACAAGTCTTGTTGTCACTTAGTTATTTATAGTTTTCGTGCTCTTTAAGCCTAAGTGAAGATGGCATTGTATTTCAATTTATCAACATATATAAAAAAGATGGTCATTATTTTTAGATTAATAAGAAATTTAAATTATTTTACTGGCATTTCAACTCTGTCTTTCAAAATAACTTTAAGTTACTCAAATTCTTGATTTAATTTTCCCTTATGTTAGCACGGCGCTATTCTAACTATGCTAATGAGAAGAACTTTAGAGTTTCAATTTAATTGCATAGACTCTTCAGGAATTTTGTTTCAATCATAGTGGAAATATGATTTTGTTCTAAAAAAGATGGCTCCAATCCAAAACTCTTCATTCTACTGTGCATGGTCTGTTCACCCATCAAAATTGTGTACAACTTTAAATGTTTCGGTCACACGGAAACATCACTTTTGGAGGCAACTTCAGCCTTTTGTTGCCTATAGGATTTCTAATAGCTGCTGTACAAGAAGTGCTTCAGGGTGTATTTAAAGGTCCCTTTCCTATGCTGCGTGCATCTTTGTATGTGTGGTTTTTATTCAACTCCACCCCTGACACATTTGCCAACACTACGAGTACATCCTTAGGATTTGAACTTTTATTCTTTAATTTCCTAAAATAACATACCTAAACCACCACATTAGATCAAATATAAAATTACTTAACATTTACCACTCACTTACACTGAACTAGGAAGGCAGGACAAAAGAAAATATTTTTTACTCTCTTTATTTTATGATTGAAGAAATTAAAGGCTGAAAATGTAAAGAAATGTTAGCTGGTAAGTGAAAGAAATTTCATTACAGGCCAAGTTGACTCTAAGTTTGTGCCCTTGACCACATTATTCTATTGGCTTTCTTATTTCATTAATGAGTACGATCTCACTTCAATGGCACATGTTCAGGATAACAATCTAATTTAAAATATCCACCAAAATAGTAAAAATTGATCATCACAATTAAATGTCAGTTACAATAATGTCTCAATATGCTCTCAAGTGCCATGGGAGAGGATTTAGCCTCAACTGCATTTCCTCTTCAAAACAGCATCCTTATTATCCTTAAATAGAATTCAGGAGCTAGTATACAAGATCATTAGAGGCAATTTAATTAGTGTTATGGTCTAATCAGATGAGATAGTTCTATTATCTAAACATATAATCACTTCAGGCATTAGGAACCACATGCAAAACCATAAAATGTGCTTATCAGCACAATACCTTCTGGGGTACACACAATGGAGGTGCCCTCTCTGAGCTCGCCATGGCTCATGACTACGGGAGACATCTTGATTCTCAACAGGGGTGATTTTGCACCCCAGCACTGTTTGGCAATGTGCAGGCACATTTTTACTTGTCATAATTGGGAAGATTCACCTAGCATCTAAAAAGCACAGGCCAAAAATTCTCGTATCATTCTACAATGTACAATCATGAGTTATGTCAATACTGCTAACGTTGAAAAATCCTAAACTAGTGTGTTCTACTCGAGTGGTTTTCCTGGTAAACTTGTAAAGAAGAATTATTTGAAGTAATTAACATGGTCTCATTTGTAATAGACAACCTCTGGGAGAAGCAATTATTTTTCATGTGCAGAAAATGATTTCATAAAGCAGAATATATATATAATTACCACCATCTGAACTTTGGAAAAGTGTAGGTGTATGGAGCTCAGACCATTTCACTTAAGAATAAAAAACCCCTTCATGTTACCTAGGTAGAGGATTCGTGAACTCATCAACTCAAATTTTTCGTATGTGGCTGCCCCAAAGATTTTCACAAATCCTTTATTAAACTGATTTACATTAGTAACCAAACCAAAGAAAGCATCAGGATCTAAAAAAGCAGCACAGAAGAAGGTGGTATAGACATCAGGGGCTTGGAAACAAAGACATGAAAGTCAATTTGAAGATATCTTCCCTTCTTCCACAAAGCTCTTTAAGCACTTGTCTATACGCAGTATCGCACAGTTCACTACATTTACAGCAGGTGCTGCCCTAACTAAATGCTACAAATGCTAAAATGCTCAGTGCTCTGGACGCCACCTTTCCTGCTCTCCAAGAAGAACCCCAGGCCCCCAAAATGTAAGACACCAACCTGTGCCATGACTTTACAGAGCCACTTGGGTTCCACAAAATACAAGTCACTTAACTGCAATGCAGGATCTTGAAAATGAAGAAGAACGCCTATAATAAATAAATCATCAAACAGTGAAACATGGAATCCGGAACACAAAAATATCCAGAAGCTTTAGAGCGAGTAAAGGTAATACTTAATGTTATAAAGAACTATACAAACTGACCCTTTAGAAGAATGTCTGAGATAGTGACATGCACTGAAGATCATGTATTCACAAAAAATAGAAATTCGTAATTTTCACGCTACTTTTTAAAGATGCCCTAAAAAGACACACCCTATTTTCAATACAGATAAGAAACACAACATATCTCACCAAAACTGAACTACAATAAAGGCAAAAGGGAACAGATTTGAATCCACCTGAAGATATTTTCCATATTATTGAAAGCAGGGATCAAAAACAGCTTCCCAGCCATTTATTCTAGTATTAAAGATCAACTCACATGCTTTTAGCAAGATGACAATGATCACGGACCCAATAAGCAGTGGAGTTGGTTTGAATATTTTCACTATGGGACCAATAAGTGATGCAGCAGAGTGAGACCTGCCATCTAGGAGCTGTGGCATCTCAGACAACCATCAGTTCTGCATGGCCCAGTCAAACCATCGCAATAGTTCTCCTTGATGGTACAAACATAACTTCCACAGGCACTAAATCCACTGGTACTATGAAAGGACATAGCTATGCTAAAAGTTCGGTTTCTCCTGAGTAGCAAAGCTATGTTCTAAAACCAACATGTTTTAACTCCTGCTCACAGAGTCGTTCCTACACTGTCCTTAGATGATTTCTAAATGTATTATCTTATGACATGATGGAGGCTTCAAGACGATGATTTATAGATTCCATACAAGATTCAGATATATTTACAACCAAGCTCTGAACAAAAGGAATATGAAACAAACATACAAACCTGACTCATTTAGGAAATGAACAGCATGAGGAAGCTCATTTTCATCTAATTGTAGCTGGTTCTCCTTTACCAGTTGTAATAATCGTTTCCGGTCAATTACAGGAAATTCAATTGGCACATTTTTGCGCTCTGCTAAAATGATTTTCTCAAGTTGTACGTAGCAATCTGGAATTAGCTGCCCCACAACAGGCTGATCTCTGATCTATGAAATTACAATAAAAAGCTGTAAACATCTATTTTAATTATGCATTTGTGAGGTGGTGGGTAAATTCAGTGCTAAATTTAAACACGAATGATGATATTATGCAGAAATATATTTGTACTAAAATCAAAATAAGATGTAAAGATCTCTGAATTGTAATTAGAGGATGAAATTGAAGAAAAGTATAGACACAGAAGCCCATTTGGAAACATCAAATAAAGTAGCATAGAAATATTTATCTAGTTATCTAGAAATTGCAGGACAAAAACTAAGATAAATCACTCACCATAAAAATATTTTTCTATTTTCCAAAACATTAAGCTCGTGTGTAATAGATTTGTTAACATAAGAGTAAGTATTACAAGATACTTTTAGTTTTTTTATTAGATAAAAATACACCCAGAGGTAAAATGTCAAATTTTGTGTGTTGGTAGACTGTAAATATCAACAGTTAAACCTGGACACATGAAATACTTACCCAACTATGTTTTTTCATGAAATCCTGACCATGGGAAAATGAAAAATCATCTAAACACCAATGATTCTGACATACAAGGATGATCATTGATCTGTCCCACTTTGAATGTAATCATTATCAATTAAAATAAGATTTTAAAAGAATGGTCTTAAAATGAAACTATCTATAATAAACATCTTTTCCATACCTGTTTTTCCTTTGAAAATCTAATTTTACATAGAAATGCAACTCTCACACTAGCAACCAAAATACCCTCAAGAACCACCAGATGGCAAACTGTCCCCATTTCTGAATCCCTGAAAATTGTATTTCCTTTTCACCTGTGAAATACCTTTACCCAGTACCTAGAATTACAACTTAAATTCTTAAGCTTATTACAAATAGAAACTGGGTCTTACTCACACACAAACACAAAAATTTAACTTGCTATCTTCCTATAGGAAGCTAACGCACAAAGGAACCTGATCTACAATAGCCTTAACCATCAGTTCTATTTACCTGTAAATAATCATTCAAAAAAAATGTTTTCATATACCCCTCACCTCAGAAAATTAAATGTAATTCAGCTAACACCCACTTCTCATAGTCCTCTTCTTTGTTATTTATAAATTCAAATAAAACAGAACTTCAATTTGAAGAGTATGTCTTAACCCAGGGAAGAAAATTCACATATAAAAGTAAATTCTGAAGGCTTCAGAGAAAGCAATTCAAACAGAAAGGGGATGAATCTCACAGGGCTGGGTCCCCGGGCCAGGGAAGATGCCTGCTCTGACAGTGGGCTGGTTAGGCTTGACAGGGGTATTGCTGGCATGACCTCAGTTTGGTCCTGCTCTCCTTATCGCCTTTTAGCTTGATTAGGCAGGCCAAAGCAGCGACAACAACAACACCCTTTCATTCCAAAACATCTATAAAGACACATGTTTATGAGAACAGGAAAAGATTCGAAAAGAGCCACGATTAAATGATGGTCTCTAACAGACCAAAAGCTGCTACATGAAGACAGACCGATAGCTAACGGAGGAACGAATGTGCACATTTTAGCAAGCTCACTGGCCCTGGGTCTTCTCAAGAAATCGCCATTTTGCAAAGTAGTTCAATGGGTTTTCAAATAAATATCCCAAAAGGATGCAGCCACTAGCAATATACCTTTCATTAAATAACACTCTCACTTCTCAAAGCAGTTTTCCTCCCCTGCATAGAGTTGTCTTCAAAGTTTCTTTATAAATGCAGAAGAAACCTACTGTTATTGATTGACAGTCATATCTTGCGATGAGACAAAAGCAATAGAAATGCAGCTTAATGAACTGACCACTTCATCTGTAGATTTTGCTTTAATTAAATTCAGGCTTTTTTCAAAACAAGCTCATCCTCCAAAGAGATCTTTAAAAAAAATACCATACCCCCTTTGACAGCAAAGAGAAAACGAACAGCTATTGAAATATTCTAAGTAGCAACAAAGTTATTCACAGGTACAGACTCAAAGGAAAACTACCTGGATAAACAGATTAATGGTATGAATGAATTGTGTGTATTTGTTTTTTAAAAAGTCATATTAATCATACATCCCATAAGAGAGTAGGAAAATTTTCAAGAACATAATGCTGTTCTTTTATAAAATGCCACTACTAATCCACCATCAATAAGGCCTTTCAGTATCATAATAAATGTGTTTTGAAAGATACAAGCACATTCTTTCCCTGGACACCACAAAGACCAATACATTTTAAAGTGGCTTATTGGGTTTTGGACATAAGCATAGTCTGTGGCAGTAGAACAGAACTAAGCTAACTGGCCAACATGGAGTTATAACCAGGGCAACCATATAATTTATCATCCAAACTGGAATGCTTTTGAGGTGGAGTGAGGCACTATTAATAATTATACTGGAACTGTCTAGGCTAACAGGACTCTACTAAATCATGACTGTGATAATTCGTTCTAATGAGTTAAGCCAACAGAAACTACACGAAATCCACCATGACATCCACCATTTTGAGCCACCCTTTGTCTTCTATCAGAGTTTACACCATGCTCCCACCAGAGTCCAGTAAAGACAACTTCCTGCAAGCATTTAAAGTGTTTTCCCCAATGACCACTGGCTTGGTGTTTTATAAATATTTGGCCTACCAAAAGGGAACTCTGGGAATTTAAAACGTTAAGTCCTAGAAAGACAAATGACTAGTTTGTATGACTTAAGTAATTATTTACAAGTTGCTGAAAGCCAAATTAATGGTTTTGACAATTCAGCGAAAGAGTTGTCTCACAATATTGAAGGAAGAAATTGGTATGGGAGTCATAGGGCAAAGAGACATGAAGAGGTGCTCAGAAGGGTATAAAATTGAACTCCCCCCCAAAAGGGAGAAGATGGAGAAAGAAGAGACAAAAATAATAGTTAAAGAAAAAAGAACCTATGACCCCAGTATTCATTTTCATACTTAGGATTGAATCAACACTACAGGAAGTTGGGACAGAACTGCGTCAAATGTGTTTCCATCTCCGAAATATTTTCTTGGTGTTCTAGAAACATTCTCTTAGTTTCTCTCAGGGTTCTACAGTTATTTTTTAATCTTTTTTCTAGGAATTACAAATGAGGTATGGCATAAGTAATTTTTAAACTGAAAGTACCTTAATAATTCTAAGAGTTATTAAAAAACAATTTTAAGATAATTAGCCTCAAGACTGCTGACATTTCTAAGCAGTGGCACAACGTGAGAATTAATAAATTATGTCCACCCACCAGTCTACAGTAGCCATCACATCGCGTTACCTTGAAATTAAGACTCTCGTTTATGATGGTTTTTCGAAGTTTTGCCAAAGCGTCAGACTCCTCAGTAGCATTCACAAAGAGGTAATTTCGAATCGCAGGAAACCCTCGCTTGTTCAGGAGTTCCCTGGTGATTTTGCTTATGCAGGCTTTGTGCTGCTTCTCGTCAGAAACATCCAAATGCGTGCCAACAAGAATCACGGGGGAGGAGGAAGCACGCGCCTATAGGGGAAGACATAAAATACGCTTGTGTTTGCTTTTAAATCGTATCTGCTTATACTGCTGTAGAAATTTGCTTGCTAGGAAGTTCGTTTCAGCATAAATGAAAAATTACAAGACTTCTGAAGAAGAAAACGACAACTGGCTTTCCTTCCTGGTGTGGCCTGCCTGTGTCCCCAAAAGGACGTGTTAGAAATTTATTCCCAGAAGCAACAGCGCTGAGAGGCAGGACCTCCACAGGGGACGAGCTGTCACTACGGAAGTGTGTTCCTGATAAAAAGGATGCATTTGGCTGACTTTGCCTCTTCGATGTGTCCTCTTGTCCTCCCCGCTGCTCCATGGAAGGACACAGCAAGGTGGCCTACACATCGTGTTGGTATAGTTTTTTTTCATATTCATGCTTGAAATGAGTTATTTGCTATGTGTGCTTCTAAACAAAATAAATATTCAATAAACCCCCAAATTATAGCGAAGTACTAATATAGTTTATATTTTTCTTATTTGATGAGTGTGCTTTAAATAAAATGAGCATCACTAAACCCCCAAGTGACAGCAAAGTAACAAAATATGGTTTATACTTTTTATTTTTATTTGTGAATAAAATCTGAATTTATTTTAAACTCAATTTGGAATCTACAAAGGAAGAAAAAAAGCCACTAAATCAAGAATTACTGCCATTGTAATACCTGCCCACACTGTTGTGGATAAGCTATAATAAAGTCAAGAAAAAAGTGAAAAGAATTATTCAGATTACAAAAGAAGTGTGCATGCAGCCCAATTACACGCTAGAGATGTCCTGACAGAAACCCAAGGACATTATTCAAGGGGGAGCTCAGCAGAGCCCTGGCCAGTGAGCACGCTCTCCACCTTTAGTCTCCATTCTAAAAAGCTATACTGCTTGGAAGAATAACTGACGGCAGGAAACCAAGGGTAAAGGTAAAAATAAAGGACGAAAAAGAATTCCACATATAAGAGCACAAGAGTGTCGGGTAAGTTCAAAGGTACAATCTGAAGGACTTCATGCTAAGTCACCAGTGAGCACATAACTGGTGAAATACCGCTTTTCTCTGGTATAGTTTATTTTAAATTAAGAAAGCTTATATTTCATTTAAGAAGTAATACAGTCAAAATTAATTGAACAGAATATATTTTTGAGTTTTTCTAGTATAGAAGGTCCAGGGATGGATAATGTCCACCAAAATGGAATGTATTACTCTTTTGCATTAGGACTTTCTTACTCAGAAAATTTTCCAACTCAAACTTTTAGTGTTTCTAGCTGAAAAAAAAATTTGAGTAGCCAGACATGGTGGTGCACACCTGTCATCCCAGCATTCAGGAGGCTGAGGCAGGAGGATCGCTGCAAGTTCGAGGCCAGCCTGGGCTACAAAGTGAGTTCAAGGCCAGCCTGAACTGCACAGCAAAGCCGGGTTTATTGAAAGGAACAGTTAATGTCTAATTTTTTGACCAATTTTATATGCTTGTATGTGGTAACAACTACTTTGAAGACAACAATATACAATATAACAACCATTGTTGAATTCATATCATCTTGTTTTTTTAAATTCTGGATCATTTCTAATTTTCTTTATTATTTTTATTCTTTTTAAAATAAAAAAATGGGGGGCTAAGGATTTAGCTCAGTGGCACAGCACCTGCCTGGCAAGCACAAGGTCGTGAGTTCAATTCCCGGTAC